TCTAAACATATTTAAAGAGAATTTATTTAGTAATGTGTTTTAAAAATCTATGACAGGGCTGGAGTTGTGGCTCAGTGGTAGAGTGATTGACTGGCATATGTGAGGTAATGTATTCAATCCTCAGCACCACATCAAAAGGAAGGAAGGAAGGAAAGAAGGAAGGGAGGGAGGGAGGGAGGGGAGAGAAAGAGAGAGAGAAAAAAAAAGGAAAGAGAAAGAAAAAAATATTGTGTCCATTTACAACTAAAATTTTTTTTAAATCCATGACAGTATATTACAGGTAATATGGGGGTTAGCTCGACATTTTTAATCATTGAATCAGGGAAAGACAGTGTTTTTTATATAATCTCTTTTTAAGCTAATAGCAAAATCCCTTCATCTTTTCTTATACTTTTGAAACTGAGGGGAAATTGTATAATGAGAAATCATTATTTGGTGTCCCCCAAAACTAAATATTACTATAACTAATCAAATTTGAATATAGTAGTTACTGTCATTTTTAGTTTTTAAATATAAAGCAATCACAATTTGAGTATTGAATAATGCTTCATACTGCTGGTATATTAATTTTAACTTAATTGTAATAATATTTTAAAAATTCACTTAAAAGGAATGAGGAATATATGAAGTAAGGGTGGAATGAATAAACATATTAAGGTGGCTTTGAAATATGTGTAATTGCTAGAATACTGAGTAATACTATTTAGATCTAGCTAAAGTTAAGTACCATTAAATAATTACACAAACATAACAATGAAAAAGCACAGGCCCATTTCATGTCATCAGTCAAATCACTTTTAATTTGATTTCTCATTATTCTCTATCCTTTAATCAATTTGTATTGATAAATTAGAAGGTAACAAGGATAAAAGCAGACTTTCAAAAGTGGAAATATGTTTTTGGAGCACACTCTCTGAAACTGAATGATGAAGAAAAGACAGTTTCTTTTAAGCATGAACTTTGTAATTCTGTTTGCAGTTTCATCTCAAGTTGAATGAGATTTCTTCCGATAGTGACTTTTGATTATTTTTATTGCTACTTTTTGCTTCAAGTAAGCATTTTTTTAAAGAAGTTGCCATAATTACAGTCCATCTCTCTGCAGATCATACACAGGCCTTCTCAATGTGCATGAAGAATGATAGAAATAGGTTTGTACAAAGTGATAGGTCTCAAAGGAGCTGATTGAAGGCTGAGCCCAACTGATGACAGTAAAATGCCACTAGAAAATTTTCAGCAGTATCATTACATGGAAAGGTAGTTTTTATTTTTTTTTCTGTATTTTTATCAGGTATCCTGCTGAGAGGGTTTGTAAAGGAAAGAGCAGTACAACACACAGATGTGAGCCTCAGTTTTTAAACTGGAAATGGGTATTTCTGGATTATATTATAGAAGATAAAGTGAAATCCATTTCAGCTTGTTTAGGTATAAGGGATGAAGGAAATATGGAAGACAATTTAAGATGACTCCAAAAATCTGCTTCTGAGTGGCTTTCTCAAGTCATTTTAAATGTTTGCCAGGGACAATTACAGGTTTGTAAGTAGAGATGGTTTTAAAGAAAGTAGATATTTTTGTTTTTGTTTTTATTGTAAATTGCATCGAACTTAAGAGGGTTAGAAAGCATTCTAAAAATAGTACTCTAAGAATTTCAAAAAAGAAAAGCAAATATAATGTCCAAGACAGCTGGGACTTTGGTTCATGGCTCTACTATAAGTGCCTATGTGGAACTAATATAATTATTGAGTAAATGAATGAAGGAGTGGATGTAAAGTCACTGGAAGAAAGCTAATTGAGGAAATCCATTATTCAAATAGTGTTCAGGCTTTTTGAAGCAAAAGAAGCACTTTCATGCAGAAAGAAAAAGAGTGATTTGGATATGTCCTAAGTAAGCAAAAACATCAACACAAAAAGTAAAAGCAATTTATTCATTCTACAAATTCTTATTTAAATGCCCATTATCCTATATGAAACCACACTTGAATATAAAATATGATGGCTATTGTATCAGTTTGTGGAGTTAAGTATACTCAAGGTTGAAAAATACCCAGAAACTGAGCTGAGTATGATAACATGAAGACATTTGTCCTGGTAGGAGGATGTGGTACAGTGGGAGGGAATGAGATAAAAAGATCTAGCTGTCTCCATGTAGCTTTCTGTCTGATGTCAGTCACTGCAAAAAGAATATTTTAGAAAATATACTTGGAAAATATGCAGTTTTCTTAAGTCTTTTTATATGTATATTAGTTCTTACAGTTCTAAAGACTGGAAAGTCTATGATCAGATACTGGAAGATTTGGTTCTTGATGAGGGCCTCTCAACCAAATTACTTTCCACAGACCCTGTCTCCAAATATCATCACACTGGAAAGTTAAGATTTTAAATGTAACTTTTGGGAGGACACAAAATTCAGTTCATAACTGTATAGTATAAAACAATAAAGAGTATAAGACTCATAGCATAAGTTTTAATGGGAGCTGAATTTCTCTTTGTTTTAGTTTCCCAATTGTAACAACAACAACAACAAAAAAAAATGTAACACTTCATTTCTTCCATGGCCATTCAAAGGAAAAATGAATAAATTTGTAAATAAAATATGCATTGCAGGATTAAAATCCAGGTTCGTTGAGTGTATTTATGTTTAAAATAGTTTTCTTAATCTTATATAAAGTGGAAGTAATTTCTCTTTCGTTTAATTGGAAATTGTACCAAATCTGAAAGTTCAAGGTGCTGATTTTTATCTTCTATGGAATCATATACAAGCTTCTTTCCCAAAGAGCAGATCCTTTTTGATCCTTCCCTCATCTCCAGCACTGGCATTTTGCTTTGCTCCTAATAAATCTGGAGCTCTCTGGCACAAAGTATCCTGGTTTGAAATGTGGAATCTATGTCAATTTAATAGAATTAGATGAGATTGAATATTAAGGAGATTTTCTTGGTTTCTCTGGATGTATGGGATAATTCAAGAGAAATGTATTTTTTGAGGAGGAGGTTGAATTATGACCATGGATAGGTAATTGTCATTATTGTTCTTTAGGACAAGAATATAAGGTTAGAGTTGCCTAGGGAGTATGCATGTGTGAGTTTATAAGTATATGTAGATGTACCTACAAGATCTACAAAGACATAACACATAAATATGAATTATAAATTAAAATAAACAAGAAAAGGGCTAGATTGCTTAACATAGCATATGTTGACTGTGATTATTCCTTTTTTCATTCTCTGGGGCTATGCTTACATGTTTCCTGTATTTTAAAACTGACAAGTGCCTGCTCCATGGACGCCTCAGAGAGCATGCATCTTGTCAATAGCATTCCTACAAGCTTAGTGACCCAACTTGGCAGAGGTACAGAGAGCGATGCAGTATGTGTAATTTGAAATAGCATACACTTCTGCCTCAGTCACTTGCTCAAACCACAATTTCTGGCACTAATACAATTTCTGTCATCTAAGGAGATAGATCCCAGCCTTCCACTATCTTGCAACATTTTTATGAAAACTTGGAAATTTAATAATTAGGGAGAAAAAATGTGTATAAATTACAATTTAATCCTTACTTTTAATCTATGAAGGCCTTTTGGTTGTAGGTATAGCAGAGTTCATATTTATATTTATGTAAATACTAAGTGTGTGTGTGTGTGTGTGTGTGTATGTGTGTGTGTATATATATATATATATATATATATATATATATATATATATATAAAATCTGAAATTTCATACCAGATTCTAAAATGTTTTATTTTTTTGACATGCAAATTCAGTGTGTGCATGCTCTCTTTTTCCCTCTCTTTCCCCAATCCCTTTCTTTCTTTCTTTTTATGGGAGTCTGTTAAAGAAAATATTCCTGCTGAAGATCCATGGAACAGTGACTGTTCTCCCTACAGAAAGAATGAAAGGAATAATTGCCTAATCTCTTATGATTCAACATGCAACCCTACACACAGTTATTTATACTGAATTTACACAAACTACTGCAATGCATTTTCTTAGAATTTTCAGTAATTTATATATATATATATATTTCTTTTAAACATATTAATAAAACATTAGATATTTTAATAATGTCAAGTTTCCTGAATGTCTTTTATGTAAACATTTTCCCCCTAAGGAATTTTCTACAAAGGAAGAATTGTATTAGTTAACCAGTTTCATAAACTCACCCCCCCAAAAAAAAATCATTAGGGATCAGGGGGATCTTAATTTAAAGTTGCATTATTTTTCTTTTCTTTCCTCTGTGAAATAACAGCTAATGTAGAAAAAGTTTCAAGACGTTCAAGAAAGGTATTAGAAGGTTCAGGTTAGCGCTTTAATAGGCCAAATGCCATCTGTTTCTGCAATTTGTAACGTTTTATTATTAACAACTCCAGAAGAGGGAGGCAGTCTATTTCAGTGGTGAGGACAGATTTCTGTCCATCTGTGCTGGTATTGCCGCATGTCACTTGTACTTTAGATCTGAGTAGCTCTGAGCCAATGTAGATGCCGTGGCAAGGTCAAGAGGTGGGGAAGCCTGTCAGCACATTCTGTCTCCAAGGCTGTGACAACTGCAACACGGGTGCTTCCAGTTCCTCCCTGAGGCTGTCATTCTGTCGGGCCTTGGAGCTGGGCCTTCTGTAGTTTCATTTCAAGAGAAAATGTTAACTTTAAACATTTAAAAATATCAGACAAAGAATTCAATCTTTGATGTGACTCTGGTTAATGTCAGTTTCCTTATTAAAGTATCTTGTCTCTCAGAATTCAAGAATGTGAAGAGTTCTGTAGTGATGATGGTTCTTACTTCTTTTTCAGTTCCTGATAAACCCTGCTGCTAAGGGGAGCAGAATGCACGAGAAATACTGTTTTATTGCAAAATAGATGATACCAAGAATGCAATGGGTTAAAGCAGAGTTTACACACTTTCAGATGAGGCATGTTCACATTCCTACCCCTTGTGCTTTAAAAAACAAAACACCAACTTAATATCTCAAATTTATAAGTGTGTATTGTTTCTCTTTTCCCAAAAGTGCTTACCAAATTGTTGTGGAAGAGCTGCACCCACATCGAACGAAAAGAGAAGCCGGGGCCATGGAGTGCTACCAGGTTCCTGTCACCTACCAAAACGCCATGAGCGGGGGGGCACCCTATTACTTTGCTGCAGAATTACCCCCTGGGAATCTACCTGAACCTGCTCCATTCACTGTGGGTGACAATCGGACCTACCAAGGCTTCTGGAACCCTCCCTTGGCTCCACGCAAAGGATACAACATCTATTTCCAGGCAATGAGCAGTGTGGAGAAGGTGAGCTTCCTCTGAGGTTTGATTTTTCATTGCTCAAAGGGTTAGGGTTAGAAAATCTAGAGTCACATTTTATAAATACTTAGTAGCGTTCGTCAAGAAAAGCATAAAAATAAAAGAAAGCAAGAAGAGAAAATCGATGTGTAGGGGTGTAGTTTCTGTTGCCAACAGTATGCAGTTTGGGGCTGACTGAAGAGGGCTGAGGCTGCATGCCAGTTACATTTTACAGGATTCCTGTTTCCTAGTAACTACTTCTGCTAGGGCCTTCTTCAGGAAAGCCCACAATGGCAATTGTGAGTAAAATGATTTGAAAAGGTGGGTGTGCTGCTGCCGGGACTCCACCCCTAGTAAATTTCAGGCATTGTTCTGCCTTCCTTGCTCAGTAGTGGCACACTTCAAAAGATTAAATTTACCACAGGATAAACAGAATGCACGTTCCACAGCAGGCTAATAGACCCTTATAAACTTTTCAGGGGGTACAAGCCAAATAGTAAATAACAAGTAACAATCCTCTGATTACAAAGTAATAGGACGCCTGTGGTATAGCTGACAGAACTTAACAGAAGGCTGCCTGGCAATGGCTGGATGCTGTGCCATTACAGAAGTCTGCTCTCTGTTTCCCTGACGGCCCCTCCTTTTTCCATTTTGGACACAGTTGTTTTTGAACACTGCTGCTGATCCCAAATGAATATTGAAGAGGAAAACACAACAGGACATTAGAAACTGCCTGTGGTTCCATATGTGGAGAAACAACCTGGCCTTTTGTGCCCCTTGCTGCTGTTCTCTTAGAAAAAATTTTCTTTCCTAAAACTTATTTTATTTTTACTTGTTTATATTTTGGCAGAGAGGGATAGAAAAAAAATCATCAAGAATAGAAACTTACATAATTTAAAGTACATTTGAATAATGACATTCTGATGGACTTGTAGCTCTCTAAGAAATTGCCAGTTTTGTATAATTGAGTCCCCAATGTGGGCACCTGGGACATGATGTGAAATATATGATATCTAATTAAATCCATCATATTATGTCTTGGAATAGTTTAATTGGAAGAATTTTCCCATTTGCATTTCCACAGGGGCCATGAAAACTTGGGTATTGATTAGCTGCTTTTGAATGAAACTATTATCTTTCTTCTTACAAATATGGTATATAGTTTATGGCAAAGTAAAATACCACAGCCTTTTCTGAAATGTTCTCCAAAGACAGAGGATATTCATGGTAGAAGATATTGTCTTTTTCTGGTTCGCTTCTACATAGATGGGAGACTTCAGAAGCTAGTCTAATGCCTGCTTCCTGTATACACACTGCTCCTATGCACTGGTATAACCAGGATGCTCCAAAAAGAACAGTATGAGAGTTGTCAATACATTTTGTGTATTAAGTAGCACAAAGAGAGCAAACCTAGTTCTTTGTTTGGATTTTCTTTAAAGAGGTGAGAATTTCCAAATTAACTTTTGTTACTTGATGTGTTGCATGAGAAGAGTGTTAATGAGTGTTTGTTACTTATAAAAAAATTTTCTTTGGCACAGTTTAAAGGCTTAGATATGAATTTTCTCTTCTGATATATCTACTACACTATGGTTAAATCAAAGTTCAGACTAGCCAGAGTATATTTCACAATCTTTTTTGGCAATGAATTTTTAAATGGATGTGATTCCTACCAGCAGAGGCTGGTAATGCCTAAGGAGAGTCAACAGAGTTTGCTTTTAGGAAATAAGAATCCCCTTGCGCTTTACAGGAATATGAAAAATTCTCTTACAGTTTACTATGAAGGTCAAGGGTCAAAATTAAGTAATAAAAGTATAAATTTCTTTTTTGTTGATTCCTAATTCTCTCATCAGCGTTCTATTTTAATTTCAAAGTAAACACTTATGATGAAATGATAAATTGCCTCATCAACATGTGGAACTTCTCAAGATGATGTTGCAAATGCATCTTAAAAAAGAAATAGCCTGTTTAAGAAAAAATCCACTTCTCATGTGGGAGAACCTGTGACTAGGGAGATGAGACTGAGAGACTGAAGAAAGAGAAGAGACACAGCATTGCACAGAATGCAATTTATTAGGAACTTAGAAGGGGGTCTTGAGCAGGAGCAAGATGGGAAGATAACACACCCCAAGGAAGGAGGATGGTGCTTACATGCTATGCTAGAAAAAAAATGAACAATGGCCAACTGGAATATTTGAAAAAGCCAACCTGGGCTTCTTCAAATACTACTAATATGCCCAACATTGCTAAACAGTCTAGGCGTCAGTGGATGGCACAATATACTCAGCCATCTTAATGACCTTATCCTACTATAGGGTTTGTGATGTATACTAGGATATCTGATGGGGAATATATGACAATGATGGCCAAGACAGTTGTAGTCAGATCATGTTGCATTCAGATAGCCTTCTGATCCCTAGCTTTGACACATTTTTATACCTGACTTGCATTCAAAGGTAGACACCAACTGAACTAAGTTTTGGGGAGGTGAGGCATGAACCCTGAACTAGCTTATGGGGACATGCATCTCCTATTACCACCCCCACAGTGTTAAAAATATAGTAATCACTCTGTAACTTCATTTTTTTTTGCTTCTGCTTTCTCTACCCTATTGTGTGGCAAGAGGTAGAAAATAATCTATATTGAAAAAAAAAAACATTCAACTCCTAACAGCTACATTAAAAGAAAGAACAGATAAATGATACTGCAACTGTGATGCAATATTTTGATTACCTTCCTAACTACTATCTCTTAGCTCTTTAGTCATGCTATGATCCAAACAAGAGTATGTAACATTTAATTTTTATCTGAGTCTACCACCATCAGGTAGAAATTAAATTTATATTTTGTTCTGAATTACATTAGTTATGCAATATTTATATTTGCCTTTATGATGGCTTTAGAATCAACAATAAATGCAAATAGAATTCTATCCTCCTTGTCCTGAACAAACTAGCCTGCTTTGTTAGAAGGTGAAAATAGTTACTGACATCTTTAGAAAATATTGGATATTTTCTTAAAGCTTGTATATTACATTTTGAACAATTCTCTCAGAAAATATACTAAGAAACAAGAAATGTATTAATCTTGTAATTCTCCAACAAAAAAACTCTTAAAATTCCATGTAACCACCATTTTGCCTACCAGGTACCTCTGGCACACATCCTAAACCCTAAAGGATAAACAAGATCATTAAGAAAGTCACTGAGTAGATCCGAGAGTATCAATATTGCATTTCTTTGTAATCCTATTTTATGACCATGCATTGATCTTGGGATTAGTTATAGTTTATGAAACAGGCATCATTACCTATACATTGATTTTTTTTTTAAATTTTTACTCCACTAGGAAACTAAAACCCAGTGTGTACGAATTGCTACAAAAGGTAAGAGGTTTGCTTTTTCTTCTTCTTTTCTTAAAATCTATTCACCACCTTTCTAAAACAAAACAGCTTTGTTCCCTGCTTCAGGCTAATTAAATGTGGCATTTCTATTACTGAGTATTTGTAGTAGGACCCAGTTAAATCTCCAGCCAAGTTCTCTGACTCACTCGGGTGTCTTTAACACATAATGGTGTGCTACATCCCATCCTCTAATACTTGACTAAAGGAATCTTGTTATGAGAATAGAAAGGATTTACAAAACCTCAGAAGGACTTATTTCTGCCATTTAGTACCTGAAAGATCTTGTGTGGCTGATCAAGCAATGCATTAGAAAAAACTAAGTAATAGCAGTTGAAAATAGCAAGTCACTTGTTTAAAAACCACTGTAACTTTCTGTGATCAAGGATCACACAGAAAAAGAACAAAGCTAATTAATTCATACATATATAAAAGTTTAAATGTGGAAATTGCTTCATATTTTCATCAGTAGTACATTTGGATTAAAGATTAATTTCCTTTTTTAATTCCACTAATATTCAGAGATTGTGTATATGATAGGTAATCACCAACACAGTTCCTGCTGACCCTACCTATTATGACTCAGTTGCCTACTTTCTTTATGAGGAAAAAATACTGTCATCCTTGAATGAGTGTTTAGAGTTCAAAGTGGGGAGGGGGGATCTCCTCATCTCCATTTATAGTCCTTCATTTAAGGGTTATTTGATTGTGCCCACAAGGGAGAGATAGCTACTTCTTCATGTGTTCTAGCAAGAGAAATAATAAAAAGCTGTCTGCCTGCAGCCAGGGCCTCCTCAGAGGGTTGTCCTCTGGGTAGATCGTTGCCAGAATTAGTATTAGACCCACATTCATAAGCAGCAGTAGATTCTTTGGGGGCTAAAATGAATAGCCATATTCTGTGTGTACTGGCATCTTTCCTTTTATCATTTTTCTCCATCTAATCATCAATCTTCTCAATTAGCATTTGTGTTTTACTCTTGATTTGTAAAGGCAATATAGATTTTTTCCCTTGACTCATGAGAATAAAGAAGCTTCACAGAAGAAAAAATAAACATACTTGTTCAATTCAAATACTGATTCCTCATGACAGTTTTTAAAAAAAATAAGCAAGCTTTATTAAAAAGTGAAGAGAAGAATATATTGAGGGGAATGCAGTACATAAGAATTATGTTTTATTTTTTTAAATGTAGCTTATAGATCAGGAGTTAGAGCAGAAATTTTTACAGGTTAATGGTGGAAGACATTAAGTATGTATCACCTGTGCTCTCCAGATTTACAGTAGAGCTAGTGATGTAAAGAGGTCTCGCATCAGCCTCTAAAAAACTTCTTTAAATAGGGTAATGCTGCATTTCTAGAACTCAGAAAAGAAAGTTATAAATGCTTGTAGCATTTCAATTTTCTTACTCAGTTTGCTTTCGAATGACCTGGTTAACTATCATTTTGTCCCTCTCTGAATACAAATAAAAGCATGCTGACAAATACTATATGATATTTAGATTGCAACTTGAGATCATGGAAATTAATCTTACTACATGGCATAGAATATTTGCCAGAGACTTAGTAAGAAAGAAAATTTTTTTGTGGTAGCTATTTCAGTTGACAGGATGGTACAGTGAGCAGAGAAAGGACACTAGACTTAGACTATCTGGGTTTACACCTCGATTTGTCCCTTCATAATTCTTTAGCACTGGGCAAAGTGTATAAGGTCTTATTCCCAAAATAAGAGTATTTACCCCTTATTTTTATTGAGATTTAAAATAACTTATTCAGCAGTCTCTTCTTACCTGAGATTTTGCTTCTACTTCTTAAGTTACTGACAGTCAACCACACCCTCAAACATTAAATGAAAAATTTCAGAAGTAACAATACTTAAGTTTTAAATTGTGTGCTATTCTGAGCAGCATGATTAAAATCTCACACTGTCCTGTTCTGTCCTGCCCAGGACTTCATCATCTCTTTGTCCAGTGTACCACATAGAATTTACTACACAACCATTAGTCATTTAGTAGATCTTGATGTTATTGGATCAATTTTTTAACTAATTTTTTATTTGTTTTAATGAGTTACACATAACAGTACAATGATCTTGACATATCATACATTTGAATCCAGATGGGATATAATTCTCATTTTTCTGAATGTACACTTTGCAGAATCACACTGGTCATACAGTCACATATACACACACAGCAATAATAATGTCTATTTTATTCTGCTGTCCTTCCTTTCCCCCTTCCTCTCCCCTCCCCTCCCATCACTTCTTTCTACCTAATCTAATGTGACACCCTTTTTTTTCCCTCACATCGTCATACATGTATTCTGTATAACGATGAGGGTCTCCTTCCATCTTCCATGCAATTGCACGAAAGTTGGATCAATTTTTGTGGTATTGCAGTGCCTTGTGTTCAGGTAAACCTGATTTTATTTAATAGGGCCCCAAACTACAAGAATAGTGAAGCTTCCAATTATTGTATTTTATTATAATTATTGTTAATTTCTTACTGTTCCCAGTTTATAAATTAAACATTATTAGAGGTATGTAGGCAGAGTTTAAAAAAAATAACAGTAAAGAGAGAGTTTAGAACTGCCTTTAGGCAACTATTGGAGGTCTTGGAACATGTTCTTCACAACAACAGAGAGGAAGGCTGCTGTACTGTGAAGTTTTGTAAATATTACACATGTGTTAACTGTTTATCATCATCACAATTGACTTTTTACCTTACTTCAGAAAGACATAATTTATGTTATTCCATTATAAAAGAAATTTGCACAAATGCTAAACTTACTAAACTTTCGTGATAGAAATTGCTTAAGGAAAAACTAAGATGATCTTTTAATACATGTATTTATTTATTTATTTATTTGTTTGTTTATTTATTTATTTATTTATTTTTATGTAGCGCTAAGGATCAAACCCAGGGCCTCACACACGCTAGGTGAGCACTCTACTGCTGAGCCAAAACCCCAACCCCTAAACTAAGATGCTTTTATTCATTCTTTCAATGTTTCTGCCTATATCTAATGTATTTTCTGCTCTAAATATTCAACTTTGTTTTATTTACTTATGAGAAAACTACATTTATAAAGTATCATCAATATATTGCCTGGCTACCTTTTAAGATATAAAACCAGCCAGGTATGGTCAGCATTGGTATGAAATTTTTCAATATAAAAATTTTCTGAGATGGCACTTTGAAGACACACTTAATAGTCAAAAGAGCATAATCACATTGACCATAAAGAAAACATGAGGAAGCCCTCTGGTAAATGACCAGCTCAATTATTAAAAGTTTCTATGTTGGGAAAAAATCTGTCAGATCACCCATGTAAAATGTGGGAATTTTACTATTATAAATGTGCATATATATCAACACAAGAGTAGGTAAGTATTTTTCAGTTAACAAAAATAAAAACTAATCAAACATTAAAAACAGCATGACCATAGGTAGAAGCAACACCTAGTGCACAGGGAAAATATGAGGTTTGGAAGGCTGTCCTTGATGGCATGGTTGTAGGTGTCCCTCCATGGATAACATGTGTCTTTACTTCTTGCACTCCTACCAAAGAGCAGGACATCCCTGCCCAGGACTCCCTGGGCCAAACACACTATGTAGATATATCCTGTAGGATTCCCATGGCATGTTTTGTGTTTCATTTGCCCATCAGTTAGACCCTGACCTGGTCTCACCAGCACAGCATTGGGTGTGAGTGAAGGATCTCAGACACTTTTTCAGCTTCCTGTCCAGGTCAACTTTGTTGAAAAGAACTAGGTGGCCTGAAAATGCTGGAGTTGCATTTTGAATATTGAAGATATTCTGGTTTGTAGTAGTAGCCTTTCACCACACCAAATTTTTCAAACCATATGTAGTAGTGCTCTGCTTTTTTGCATATTCTTAAATCTGCTAAATTTATTGCTGTCCTACACATCATGGTATGATTGTGTGATTGTCTTGTGTTCCTGTCACACATCATTGTGTGACAAGAACAAGTACAGGATGAGAGTCATATGAGTATAACAAATATTTGTTGAATCTACAGTTAGAATTTAAACTAAGTTTAGGATAGATGTTTCAGGTTTAGTCACAGTCCTATCTGAAGTTCTAAAAGTATTACCACAGTTTATGATGTGTTAAAAGACAAATTAATATAGAGCTAGAGTGGTTCTTTTTTTGTTTATTTAAATGTACATTTAGATCAGGATATATATTTTGCCTTCTAGCATAGAATACTTTTTTCCCCAAAGTTGAGATTCAGTTTTATTCTATGTGGAACATGGTTGATTAGAAATATACTTTATAAAATAAAGTAAAATAAATTGAATTTAATCCTAATCTGTCTCTGTATCAGTTTTATTCAAATGAATTTTCTTGTGAATTTAGAGGCAATCAATGATTTCTTATTCATTCAAATGGCTACTTGTTAGGATAAATACAAAGATAGTTTAGCTGAAATTCTCTCTTCAACTTGATCACTGCTATTCTTATAAATATATCCTATTCTGTAGCTTCTTTCCTTTCCTGCTGTGCACATTTCAATACGAAGGGCTTATTCTACTGATTTAATCAGAATTAAAGAGTGTGATATATCAGAGCAGAGGGTCCAAAGGAAATCTAACTATGACTTCTTAAGACATAAATTCTGAATGTAATTATTATGATAAAAGATTGAAATTCTATAAAATTCCATATGAATGAATATAACTCAGTGGCACAAGAATGTATCGTTTTGTTAAAGTAGAACCTCTTTGACTTCATTAGATGTATTTAAATTTTATACTCAAAGTAAAAATAAGAACTCTGAATATCTTTTATGGTTCTTAAACATAACATTAGAGCTAGAAATGAAAAGGGGTTATCATTTGTGCTCTTTCCATCCTTCTTTTTATAATACTTTGAATTATTCTTAAAGTTGGTACCAGTTATCTCATACTTACTACATATCTGGAATAATCTGTGGCTAATGATTTCTTCTTAACTCACTACAAA